GGCAGTCTTCTGAGCAAAACTTTTCCATTGCTCACGCTACAAAGACGAGATGCAAATAACAAATTGGCAAACTTGCTTTCAAGAAGATTCTGCATGTATCTGAGGGAACAGAAATGTTACTGCAAGATTGCTGAAAAAATAGATTGATTATTTAGTTGTGTGGAGGATGTGTATGGTCAGCAAAGGCATGTCCTCTCTCATGAGCTAAAGCAAGGGCAAATTCCTGGCCCTGCTGAAGCCCAGGTGAGGCTTGATGGGACTCATCCCAAACATCATTAGCGTTACTCCAGCAAGGCCAGTGGGCAGGGGCGTTAGTGAGGTCTGCCCTGCCTGATGCTCCCCTCAGACAATTGTCAATGTATCGGTGGTTGGCAAAATCCCTGTTGGTGGGGACAAGGTGTGGTGCAAGGCGTAGTGTTAACACCACACAGCCTCCACCAGTGGGGAAAGGTGGGCTACTCGTAAGGGCCGTTCAGAGCGGGAATGAAACATGGATGCTCTGATTCGCCTTGCAGAGGAGGTTATCAAGCCCAGAGATGGTCATGGCCCTCTGAGCTGCAGAAATTGGATACCTGATGCGAGGGGTAGGAAGATGCTTGCCTGGACAGTGAGAAAGGCATAGCCAGACTGCCAGATGGCTTGGGGTTGAATGAAAGTGGGACCTGGGCAATTTTAAGCCTGGGAATTGTGAAAAGAAGCTATTATAGGACTTCATGATGTTAATGTCATTTTTCTGACCAGATCCACTGGATAACCCTAGCAAATCCCAATGATGAGTCAATTTTCTATTTTCAGTGCCAGCACAGAGCGACACTAGAGACCACAAGGCAGAGAAAGAAATGCTGAGACAGCCTAATTGAGCGTATGGCTCAGCCTAAACTACTTGCATGTTTTGTTTTGTTCTTTTAATTCTTGAAAAGAATTAGAAAAGGATGGCAAATTTCACCAGAATTGAAACAAAACCACAGGGGTCTTTGTCTGTGGATTAAGCGTTTTCAGGAACTAGCAAGAATAAATGTTTTCCTGTTTTCATTCTGTTTTCTGTACGTTAGGACCAAGCCACATAGGATATTTGTTGAGACTCCCAAGTTTTCTTATTTGGACTCTGTGATTTTAGAGAACTTGTTTTGCAGAACTGTGCATCCCAGGGAAGGAAATTAAGGTCAGAGATGAGAAAAACCCACCTAAGGGTCTGAAATACTTCTAGTTTCTCAAAGACCACCCTGTGTGGGAATGATAGATTTAAAAGTGGGTGGAACCTCTAAGCCTGGAGTTTTATCAAGTTATTCATGAAAAACCTCTGAGATCTGTGGACTCAGATATTTGCGTGGTACTTTCTCACTCTTTCTTCAGAAAAGGCACTGTGGCCTCACAAACTGAAAACTAGCCCTGCTTTTTCTTTGGCTTTAAAAATAACTAGTATCTTGAAAAGCTGTCTCAGCAGTAGTGAAGGAGTGGAAAAAAAAGTGTATTATATCCCCATGGTTTCATACAGTGCAGCTGTGCTAACAGAGTGCATTGAGACTGAGACCAAAGGAAATGCATGAAATAGTCCATGAAATGATCAGCTGAATCTAACAGTAAAGCTTCACGCAATGGGGAGATCTATTGTCCAGGTATCCTATTGCAGATGGGAGGTTTTTGTCCTTTTTTTTTTTTTTAGGGGGAAAAAATTCCAGAATATTAATAAATTTTGTCCTTTGTATTAATAAAAATTTTACAGAAATCAATGGGAAAGTTATCTTCTGATAGGAAGTCTACCTTACTTTGAATTAAAATCTTTAAATATTCTTACAATATATTTGGATTAAATATCCATATTCTGTGGGATTAAAAGTTTTGATTTTACTTCTGGTTGAATGTCTGTAGGATGATGATCAGATCTGAAAACAAGCAGATCTCTAGATTTATTAAACCAGTTTAAAAAAAATTTGTTTTTTTGAAAGAAACAAGCATGCATCAACATATAGCCTTCAAGAGTCCCTCCTAGGTCTTGGGGTAATTATTAGTAGTACAGGAATAATGGAACAAGTATTGACCAAATGTAATGCACAGTTGCCACAGTGGAGCTATTCCCCCTGGATTGACTCTAAAGTACAAGTGGTTAGTTTATAACCCTCTTTAGGTTACAACATTTTAACGTTTCTTCAGTGTTTATGCATTCTCTTCCCAAAGAATGTTCTGAAATATCAAGTTTACAACCTGTGGCTCATGTGATGGTAGTGGAAACAATTAAGCTAGAAGCTTTCAAAGCCACCACTGGGATTTTGATGCCCAAACTCATTAATTTTAATAAGAAGTGAGCAGCCAGTCGTCTTAAGTGGTTTCTAAAATCTCAACCCATAAAAACACCTCTCCGCTGGTTCCAGTTTACTAGGAGCTCAGAGCAAGGTAAACACGTGTAACAAAATAGTAGGTGTTAAAAGGTGGAAAGTGTGTGTTCAGATGTCTCTAAGACCATTCAAGGAACCAAATGGTGGCCCCAGCCTTGAGCTGGCAGATGTGGGCTGACGTGGGGGCTGCTCTTACCTTTAGCCTCCTACCCTCAGTCTTGGGGAGTTACTGACTGATCAGAACACGAGGCACAGTTTCGGCAGCAAGGAGAAGAAAGTCAATGGAAACAGAAATCTTGGCAACAGCTCAGTTCCAGCTGTGATGATCACATTGTTTGTCTGCTTTGGGCTCTCATGTCTGCTCCATGCTCTTGCCTTCTTAACATGTTTCTGCCCACCACAGCCTTGTGGCCAGGGCAGTGCTCTTCTCCCCAGTGTGCAGATGGACAAGCTGGGTTGCAGGAAGACCTGGGTGAATTCACACCACACAGTGAAGAGCAGAGGTATCCAGAGCAGTACCAGAAAGAGCTGTCTTTGAGCAGTATCAGCCAGCTTGTATTCCCATTGCTTTGGCATAAGTGCAGCAGGCAATGAGGCCGGGGCTTTCTTGCCACCCGTTGCTGCCTGCTGCCATTGCCGTTACCCACATGGTGTTTGTAGATGCTTGGTCCAGATCCTTCCTACCTGCCTAACCCGTCCTATCCGAGTTCACGCTGTGTTATCTTCCAAGCTGCTAAATGGCTGCATTTGTGTGTTGATACTTCACTGATCCACCATCATGGTTGGATAAAAATTAAGAACTGTCTGCTGTGGCCTGAGGGACCCACCCAATGCAAACCTATGAGAGCCTTTCCTTTTACATGTCTGGAGATGGCTTTGCCTCAGCCATGAGCCTATGTCACAGCCTAAGAAGTCTTGAAGGCTTTGGAGAGCACCAAGATCTCTCAAAGAAAGTTGCTGCACTGATGAAAACTCATCCTCAACATGAATCATGGAAGAAAGTCTTAATGGGGAAAAAAATCCAGAACCAGCAGATCTCTCTGTCATGTAAAATAGAGCATGGAGTGAGTATGAATGAGTTTGAAAAGGACTCACCGCGAGTCTGAATGCTTGGAAAAAGAGGAAAAATGTGAGATTTTCTGGTATCTTTTATTAATGAAAGCAACCTCAGAGAACTTTAGAATTAGTTTAAACAAGTGTCTTTCTTTTCTGTATCTGTGATATGATCTCTGAAGAACTTCATTAATGTTGGCTACGAGTGACAAAGTTACTGTAGTTTTTGCCAGTGAGTCTCGTAGTAGCAACGATTAATTATTGGTAGCTATTGGAAGGACCTTTGGGTGAAACATGATGCAGTGGAAATAGAGATGACCATCTTGACTTTTATTGTAACGGACTTCAAAAAAATCAAAAAGAAAAAAAGCTGCCATTAGTAGTAGATGTGACTTTTTTGGAAGAGAACAAAATGTTCCACAAATGAAACATGTGGTTTCACTTGCAGCACATTTTGTACATTGTCACCAATGAAGTTTAGGATTTTTTATTACTTTTTCATTAAAATGTCTTACTGGTTTCACTCAGGAGGCAAAACTTTTCACATGGCTTTAATTGTTTCTGTCATAAAAGTCATAGCATCCATGTAATAGAAATAGTTTTGCAGATCACAACTTCATATTGCCTATTAATTCTCTTCCATTTTCTGTAACTACAACTCATTGGGCCATCCCAGAGACAGAAAAAGTTCCTCTCTTGCAATTAAGACCAAACAGGAACTTCTACTGAAGTTAGGGGAAAAAAATCACTTTGTGTCAGTACTGGTTTATTAGATTTTTGTTTCAGATATCTTAGATCACAAATGTAAGTTCACATGGCCACATACCAAAGGAGAGAGTTTGTACTGACTTTTTTCTAAAATTTGTGAAACTCTAGAAGATGAAAACAAGAAAAGGCCTTTTTCTGCCTAGTTCCAGTCAGATGCAAGAGGTGGTAGTATTTCAAACAGGAGTGAAGAGCTCTGGCAGTACTGTTTCAAAGTGGTTTTGGACAGGCCATTTACCCCCATTTTTGCTTCATTTCTCCATTATACAAAAACTACTAGAGTTCAGGTCTCACATAACCCATCCCAGCAGCCTAGCTATTAGACCATGCTTCTGTCATCAGTCTGGGCTTCCCTGTCACCAATCCTAAGAAGAAGCGTAATTATTGTTGCAGTCAAAACAATGACTTGTTTTCCACAGATGATATCTAAAGTTGAAAAAAAAAGAAGGGAACTAGCGTTATCTCATTAATTTAAGATCAGCTTCAGTTAAGGTATCGGTTTTCCTCAGGGAGAGTCACAGTTTTGCTATTTAACCTTCAGCCCAGCGGGGGAGGTGACATTGTCCCCTACGGCAGGCTCTAAAGCCTGTAAGAAGTAATTAAAATGCCAGAAAACAGCAATAGCGTATCAATTGCCTTTTCGCCCTTTTTCAGTTTAGTGTTTATTTGAAAGCTTGCTAGGAAATGCCACTGCTGTCTTTAGTTGCTGCCCCAGAGCAAAAGCCTTTCTCCTTGTACACCTCCTTAGCAGTTAGGAGCACCCACCAAGTAGTGTAGTCCTATGTTTTCACTTTTTCTTAGCACGATCCCTTGCTTATTCATCAAATGTTTAAATGTTGTGTTTTGCAGTTCAAGGATGACAAAAACAAGCCCAGCCTTGGAAGGGTCCTCAGCAATAGCCCTGCCAGCTGTCCAGCTTTCTGAGCAGGTCCCACTGATGTCTCCTTCCCTGAAGCCCCTGCAGATGGACGAAGAAGACAGCCTGTCTCCTCACCTCCTGTTGCCAGATAGCATCAGCCAGCTGGAAGAGTTTGGCAGGCAGAAGAAATGGCACAAGAAGCAGCACAAACACCATCGGCAGAGGCAGTTCAATGACCTCTGGGTTCGGATAGAAGACAGGTGAGTCATAACTTTTATGGTCCCTGTCCTCTTCCTGCTGTCTCCTAACTAGTTGCTCTTTACAGATCCCAGATCTTGTTGATTAGACCATAAGGAGGGTTGGATAAAGGTTAAATGGGAGAGACAGGGAGTGAGGTGATGTTTTTGGAGCCTAATGAAGAACTAGGAGAAAGACTCATAAGCACATTTGATCTAAAGTAAAGAGGAAGAAAGCTACTGTTTAGAATATTTAAAATATACAGAAACAAAGACTTGTCAGAGTAAAAACAGGAAAAAAATGACAGTGGAAAATATTCTGTGTTTGCCCTCTTTCTTCCAATAATTATTTTCTGATCTTTACTGTCAGTTTGCAGACCAAAGACTCGCCCATTTTCCAACCATGCAGAATTTTCCTGGGAGTTTTTAAGATTCTGACATATCTGATTTCAATCTTCTTAACTGTGTTCTGGGGCTGAAATGTTTTAACATCTCAGACTGCATTGAAAACAGCAAACTGAGGCAAAATGAAGTACTTAACTAAGGCCTCTATGTGAAGAGAATGGAGGTAGGCACATTTCCATGGCCATTCCAATCTTGGTCCAAGGTTAAAAGCTCCCATCCGGTGTTTGAATAAGAGCCTTAATGTTTGACCAGGGCTCCTCGATGTGTGCTTTTAGGATTCCTGGGCAATTTATTCTCCCACCTCTAAAACTGGGAAAGCTCTTAGTGCCTTTATCCAGGCCAAGTCATGGGCAGATAAACAACCGCAATGTTTATAGCTCTCCTAACAAGTAAAAGGAATGAAATAATCTGTTGGGAACTGGCTGCTCGCCTATACATGTAATGATTGTCTTTGAGCATTAGTCTTATTCCCATTTTCATAGCACCTAAATTCCTTGTGAGTAAAATGAGTCAGAGTCTCTCAGAGGCTTCTCCCTTTGCTAAGGAAAAAACTTCACATATTTGTGTTTGGGGATTTTTTTTATTTTTATTCATTATTTTTAATGGAGCAGTTGCCTCATTTTTTTTTTATTTTATTGTATTCTCAGGGTGAGTGATGTAAGGGTTGTTATTAAGGTGGTGCATATTAATCTTAACGTAGTAAGGCTATTTCTGAACTTAATGCCAGCATTGGTAAGAAGGATTCATGTGTTTTGTTCTCAAAGTGTGTTCAGTGGTTGGATCCTCTCCACAGAGGATGTTTAAGCATGAACTAAGAGACATTTGGTTCAACATAGTTGATTGCCTCGAGGACAAGGGACTTTTCTATCTTTCTTCTGACTGGGGGCTGCCGAGTCGTGGTGTCCCATGATGTCCCAGCATTTCACAAGGGTGTCTGGTCCAGCTCACCTTATGTGTCATACAAGTGAGGTGCTTAAATAGGTCTGGTGGGAGCCTGGCAGTTAAGCACAATCGTCCTGCCCCCATCCTATCTATCCAGAAAGGATATTGGATATTGGGCCTGATCTGGCTGTGGAAATATGCAGCTGGGGGCTTAAAGCAGTGGTGCTTGCATAGCTTTGGCGGACTTTTGTGCCTTTTGCTGTTTTTATTTCAGTAAGAAATTTTCCTAGGAAAAGTATTTAAAAGGGTAGTTCCCCAGGTTAGAGTTAACTTATTCGCTCTCTGCTCCTGTGAGATTTCATCTGAATGAAAACCTTTTATCCCTCCACTTCCATTTCATAAGGATGGAGACTGGGATAAGGAAACATAAGTTTCTGCTCCCACCACACTGGTGATGAACCAGACACTGTGTGTCGCCTGCCTTGCTGAAAGATCCCAGGGAGATATTAGTGGGAGATCACAGCCCTAGAAATGAGGAAAGGCTGGAAGAAGGGAAGTCTGCCTTAGTGCTTTCAGATGGTTTTAGTGCTTCTACAGTTCTGGAGTAACTTCTGGTGTTTTCCTGGAAACAAAACAAAACAAAAAAACCCAAACTGTTCGGCTAAATCAGAGACTCACAACCAGCTCTGGTTTCCCCATAAATTGGATGGGGTCTCAACTTCCATAAACCAGCTGCTGCATATTGTGCTTTTGGCAGTTGGGTTTCATCAGCATTAATTGCAAGCTGGACCTTGCACAAGGCAATAAACAGTGAGTTCTCTCTAACTGGTTCCTTTCTGATTGGCAAGAAAAGAGCAGAAATGTGTGCCTGTCACCAGACCTTGTAGCGTGATCATTCTTGGGAGGAAACAGCTAGGGTGGCTAATAATATGGGCAATGGAGTGTTACCTGTGCAGGAGAGAAGCATGTGAACTTATATTGTGTTGCCTCAATAATGTTCAACAGCACTCAACAGTGAGACTGTTAGCACTCATTTTTGAAGGATAATCAGTGTACAAGATGTTCACACTCTGGCCAGTCCCATAGATCCATTGTGCATTTGCATATACTTAAATTGGAGCCCCCCCATGTTCTATATGGACTGAGGTCTCTGCATATAATATTACCTTGAGCTATGGCTCCATATTTCCAAATGGTTCTTCTTCCAGTTTGAGTTTCCTAACTCACCTGTTGTCACCTGAAACTTGACTTGTTCACCTTTGAAGACAAAGTAGAGGGATTTAGGTCATTGGTATGGCTTTTGAGTGAAAGCCACATAAAACTCATTGTTTCCGTGCGAGGTCTCCAGAATTCAGCTGTTTGAGCTGCCTTTCAACCTGAAAAGTCAAAGAGAAATATACAGGTGGAGGACAAATCCACGTGAATTTAGACCAGATTATTGATTCTTGTATGAACCTCATTGAACTGTGAAATGACTGTGGTTCATACGGCTCTTTTCCAAAGCTTTATTGACCATGGATTAGAGGACTTTATGAGCCATGAATTGCAGGGCTTTTATGAACTGTGCATTTCTAGGCTATCTCATACACTTCCATGGAAATCTTGGGGTGTTTTTTTAAGCTACCAACACAGAAACAAAGGAAATGAACACAGGAGAACAATCTTAAAGGAACATCAAAGGTCTGACTCCAACATATAAAAGCCAGGAAATCCATAATTAATGGTTCCACTAAGACTTCAGCTCACACAGTCGTTCAGGTCTGATCTGAGGTTATAGCTACAATCTGAAATGGCCCCGTGAAAAATGAGTCATCATTTAATGTCACACATCATTATTAGTATTTACTTTCAGTTATACCTTGGAGATTGTCCTTTCCTTTTTGTTCTGTCTTAACAGCTGAGGCATTTGAGTTGGCACCCCTGAGTGGACGGTGTTTAGATTTGTGTGTTGGAGGATTAGTACCACTGTGGAGGATGAGAAAGCTTCTGCTCTGTCTTCTCCCTTTGACAGAGCTAAGATTTGCTGATCTCCTGGGTAATCGGCTACACTGAAGGCCATTAAAAAATAAAAAATGCTGGTGAAATGTGTGGTTTCCTCTCCCTTCTGCCTCCTTTCCCCAAAATCTAAACAAAACGAAAAAGTCCTGCCTGACTGCAGTTTGTGTTTGAAATTGTTTGTCAAGAATCAAAATTAAATGGCAATTTCAAGTAGCAGGGTTTTTTCTTTAACTACTTGATTTTGCAGAAATGTGCAGATCTGAAGTCTATCTTTGGGAGGAATTTGAACTTAGACAAAACTTAAACCCTAGCTAGCTCCCGTAGCCAAAAGCCAGCTGGGGCAGCAGGGAGGGGAGGCAAAACCCTTGGGCTGGAAGGCTGCAGTTTGGCATACAGTGTGTTATTGTTCCTGTTGACAGTTTGTTAGCTAAGATTCCCCTTGTAATATAAATAATTAATTACAGATCATTCACTGGCTTTTCATGATGAGCTGCTCAGTTAATTGAAAGAGTAGAGAAATGTCTGTGACGTTTCAGAGTAGTCAATGAAGGCCAGATCAGGATCACACCTTTGTTCTAGCGGGCAAATGGTTTAAGGCTACAAACAAAACCAGCCCAAGAGAACAGAGAACCTCTCCCAGCTGGTGGGGGAGCGTTATAGCTCCTGGGGCCCTAAGGCAGGGCAGGAGGAAAGCTCCTGGGAAAAGGGAGGGGGAGAAGTTAGTAACTGGGAGGGTGTTTCAGGAGGTGTGAGGTTTGGAAGGAGCAATGGCAGCTGGGGGATGTGAAAGAGAAATACAGTGGTGCAAAGAAAGAATTAGAGAGGATGTAATGGGCAAATTCAGAGGTTCATTCCTACTGCCGAGGAAGAGATCTGAGTGAAGATGGTGTTTGTAAAGACACCAAGGACACACAGATGCTTCACTTGCACAGGAAAGAAATTCAAGGAAAAGAATTGTTATCAGAAGAGAAAAAAAGAAATTCTTGTCTCAGATGTAAGCGCAGCCCTGCAAAACCTGCCATTAGTGGGAAATGAAATGAATTCCCCCTGTAATTGGAAATGGCATTTCTCTGATAGCCCAGTGCTGACTATTCAACCCCAGATGAATGCAATAACATCACAAATACCAATTTCTTTTGGAAGCAACAGTTATTTTAGGCCAAAAAAATAAAGTTATATCAGTGATGGATGAAGGGAGACAATGTGTAACAAACTGCACTAAGTGTGCCTGTATAGAGTGAACCTTATCAGTTTGGATGGAATTTAAGCACTTACCCTGTTATCCTTTCTTTCAAGACAATGCAGTGATGGAAAACAGAACTCTGTCAACTCAGACAAACTTTTAATTTCACTTAACTGCATCTGAAAGGTAAATTTCAGTAAATGAATCCAAATTGCTTCCTTTTCACAACACACGGTGCTGAAATACAGTACTTAACTTCATTAAAGAAAAGACTGCTTTTCTTTAGAGGAGACCTAGACACTTTTGAAGTCTAACAGGTAAATTGTGGTCAGATGATTTCCCTCCATATGGTAGCTTTGAGCTTGAAATTTCCATCACTGGGGCCTTGTTTGTTTAAATTACTCTATCCACCTCCCTGGTAAGGATACTGCTCGGAGAGTGCATGCCTACTGATGCTCATGGGGAGGGGGGATCACTCCCTCCTCCAGCCTGTCTCTGTGCAGCTGAGTACGCAGTTGCCACCGTTGCATTTATTTGCCCTCTGTTCAACCAAGGA